AGTTGACAAAGATGCACCAGCTCGAAGCACATGGAGCCAATGAGGACCAGCATCACTTTGAAGCTCACAGTGGGATATTTGAGCTGAATCTGTGCACTGAGTGTGAGAATGTTTCCCTCGTCTACAAAACAGGAAATCGGAATAGCTCATGACACTGAGATCTGGTTCCTGAACTGCATTACACTGGCATTTTCTCACAGGGACCACATTGCCTATTTTCACCTGATCATCACCCACTTGGGCCTGCCCCTCTGGCACTAGGCCAGCTATGGCATTAAACCACAGGCCAAGCACTGGTTCAGTATGTGTAAACCATCATCGCCTATGACACAAGTCTGTTCACAGAGGAGACTAGTCCTTTGTGAACAGGCAGGTTCCTGGCAAAGGGTTTGAGAACAAGAATACATTCTTAATCCTCTACAAAGGAAAAACCCTGTAGATGGTCAGAAGGGGCCCAGAGCCTCAGCTGTCCTATTTCCAAGCCCCCATCTGCCTCTAGAAACCTGATCTAAAATAAGTAACCCTCAAGTGTGACTTAAGCACACAGATGGCCCTATGGGTGCCCCAACCTCAAGCTCTTTTTGTGACTATAGGCATCTTCCTGAGTGACCAACATCCAGGTCTTTACTCCAAAAGCTGGAAGGGCATATGAATTCTCCCCAGGAGTCCTGCCCACAGTAGGTATGCCAGACCCATATCCAAAACCAGCTAGAAGTTTCAGATCTATTCAGAAGAAGCATCCCTCTTCCCCTAGCCACCCCTTAACTTCTTGGCAAATATTAGGGCAATATCCAAGAGAATCTCTTGGCTTGACCAATGAAACGTTAGTAGCCACTAGCCATATATGTCTGCTTTGGTTATGAAAAACCCATACCCTCAATCCAGCCACACTTCAAGTATGTGCATGACTGGTAGATTTCATATTGGCTACTACAAACATAAGAAGATTCCTTTCACAGAAATGTCTTGCCAGATGCATGAGAATATTTTCATCCTGTTATTCTTTGGATTGGTTTGTTTTTGCTGTTTGATAATATTGACGCCCTAACTCGATGGGCTACTGTTTCATGAAAAAAACAGAGGGACATAATTTTGTGTTTGTGTTTTTTAAACCTGGCAAGACAATTTCTTTTTGAAAAAAGTGTGCACCATGAGGATGGAAAGATGGCTCAGTGATTAAGAGCAATTACTGGTCTTGTAGAGGACCTGGGTTCAATTCCAAACACCCACTCCAGTTCCCAGGGCTCCAACACCATCCTCTGAGCTCCAAAGTTCCTGCATGCATGTGGTGTACACACATACACTCAAATGCACAGACTTTTCTGAGCCCCAGAGGCTCCTGCATGCATGTGGTGTACACACTCAGATGTATACACACTCAGATGTATACATATACACATTGAACTTTTTAAAGAAGGGCACACTATGACCTAAACTGAGCTGGCAAGACCATCAGGGCAGGACTCTCCCATAGTTTTGTTCTAACACAGGTGGTGACCATGTTTCATCTCAATGGTGAGTGTGTACCCTCACAATCTGATGTGGTTGGCTAAGTCATACCCATCTCAAAGGGGAGGGTGTAAAAATTAGTAAAATCTCAGGAATGTCCAGGCATTAGGCAAACTGGCATGCACACAGTATTTCACAATACAGGAGAGTCCTGTGGAATCCTGGCCCTTGTCAGGCTAGCCACCTTTGATTAACAGGAGAAAAAAATATTTCTAATAATTTCCTCCTCTTTATTATACATTTTAATTGGTTACCTCCAAACCCCAGCAAATCAAACTCATCTAGCATATGCTGACTTTCTGAAGTCTCTAGTAAGAGCAAATTAATGTAATAAGTGATTGAGAGTTATTTGGTTTGATGAAACTTTGGGCCCCTAGTAAAAAGAATTATTTATTCTATCTCTTTAGCATGGCTTAAGTCGAGCCCATCTTCCTAGAGGTGATCCCTTGACCAAGTGACTGATCTGACTCAACTGGAATGTTAGGTCTTCATCCAGGCCAGAAATCCTATTCTCTTGACCAGAAAATCTTTTCTCTTTATAGGCCCTCACTGCTGTATTAGTATTACCCCCTCTAAACAGGTAACTGTAGAACCATTTAGGAACCAGATGAGAGCCCTTCAAACACTTTTGGCATCTCTGGCTTCTGGCAAGAATGAGGCTGTGAAGAGGCCCAAGGACATTGTTGGCCAAGAAGTACACTGGTTATTATTCTTTGGGGTCTTTTAACCCTAGACTGCCTATCCAAATCTTACATCCTGCCTTCGTCATCCCCTACCCCTACGGAGGCAGCCAGAACTGCCAGGTAGGATTGGGGAACAACCACTCTGGGTTCTTCCAGCTGAGTGGGAGCAGCAGGTGCAGCAGTTGGAGTACCCCTGCAGTGGGACAATATGAACTTTTAAAAATTCTATTTATTTTATGAATATGGGTATTTTGTCTGCATGTACATCTGTGCACCTTGTGCCTGCCTGGTATGCATGGAAGTCATAAAACAGCGTTAGGTTCCCTGGGACAGGAACTTCAGATGGTTGTAGGTGCTGGGAATTGAACCTGGGTCTTCTGAGAAAGCAGTACATGCTCTTAACTACTGAGCTGTCTCTCCAGCCCCAGTGAGCTTCTTTAAAAGACCCCAAAAGTGCATCAGCTGCTCCACTGTATAACAACTGGGTGTAGAGAAGAAAGGAAGTCCTTGGCTGGTGCCTGCAAAGATATGTGAAGGGCAAATGAAGGCAAACTTATTAGCATTACAAGTCCTAGGTAGGGAAGCAGAAGCTAGAACAGAGAATACTTTAAAAATGTTCAAACCAAAGACATTAGAATCTCTTGATGGGTATGCAAGATCCTCCGTCTATTTATTGGCTCCTCCTCATTTTTCCTTTGGGTTCCAAGGCGGGTCTTCAGAGTGATGAGCCCAGTATCTGGTTTCAGGAACACTGACAGCTGTGGGTGGCTAGCATCACTGTGAGATCCTTCCCAGATGGCTTCTGAAGACTCTTTCTCCCCATCAGTCTGGTCCTGGCAGTCTTTTCCCCAGGGCTTGGCCTGTTGGCACCTCCCAGATCTGCCTGAGCTTCTCTGGCCCGGCTCCTGCCCCTGTTGGTAATGCCAGCTCCCTGCTGTGGCAACCCCAGGTGTGTGCTGCTTAGGAATGTGGAGTAATCCACTCTGTCCTGAGCTCCACCATCCACTGTGGCTTGCTGGGGAGGCCAGGTGACCTAGCATCTGACACCATCAGCATAGTTTGGGCATTCTGGACACCATGCCCCATCACATGTGCCGCTCTAGGTAAGAGCCCAATTTTACAAGGCTGCCAGTGGTGGCACACGCCTTTAATCCTAGTATTTGGGAGGCAGAGACAGATGGATCTCTGTGAGTTCGAGGACAGCCTGGTCTACAGAGTGAGTTCCAGGACAGGCTTTAAAGCAATACAGAGAAACTCTGCTTGAAAAACAAAAACAAAGAACCCAGTTTTACATTCCTTATGACCTGTACCACAAACAAATTTATTTCTTTTTAAATCTCCTATATAATTTCATGTTCCTGCAAAAGCAGGAGGCATTGGGACTAGCATGGTAAAGGAGGGAGGGAAGGAAGAACAGGGCAGCCACAAGGGCCTCCTGGAGGAGGTCAGCCTGGGCTAGAGTGTGACCTTGTCTCACCCCCTCCCCGGTATAATCAATCAATCAATCAATCAACCAATCAATCAAGAAGGCATGGGCCGAGTGGTGGCATATGAAGCTACTCAAGAGGTGAAGACAGGTGGATTGCCAATTTAAGACCAGCCTGGGCAACTTAGTGAGACTGTATCAAATTCAAGTAACAAAGGGCTGGTACCATGCAGTAGTAGAAGGAAGGCTTACCCAACATGGAAGAAACCCTGGATTCAATCTTCACCAGCAGAAAAAACCAACAACCATGGAACATTTTATATACCTGGCAGGGTACCTATGCAGGCAGAGGCTCAGCCTTGAGCTCACTTGGCTTCCTGATTTCCCTGGCCCAGGCCAGAAAGGTCTGCAAATTACAACTGGCTTCCACACTCAGAATTTGCTGAAGTACTTGGGGGCTGTGTTCCATCAGAAAGCCCTGACAGATCCAGCCCAGAGATTCCTGCCATGCCCACTAGCAGCAGCAGGGGGCAGTGTGGCTCTAGAGACTCAGCAGAGGAAGGGAAGGACCTGGTGCTGTAGCTTCCCTGGTCTTTAGACAGGGTGGGGTGGGGGTCTTTAATGCTGCTGTCTCCACCTGGGTCACACCTGTTCTCCCTAACTCTCAGGCATGGAGGCCCCCATCGTCTCTGTGGCCCTGCTCGTGGACCTGTCCAAATTGTTGTTTTTGCTCCTCCATCAGCTCAGGCCCAGAGTCCTCTACCCCCACAGGTAACCTGGCATGTAGGTCAGGTCCCCTGTCTTCCTATGATTTTAATGTGACGTGGCCCAGGGGATGTGTGTGTGTGTGGATGGGGATCTGGTACCTGGTCAAAGCAATCGAACAAACAGTGCTTCAGGTCAGAGGAGTCCACTGGGTAGGGCTGGTCTCCAAAGGGATACAGTTTTAAAAGCGTTTTCTACATTGGACCAGCTACCTCCAGGCTGTGCTTGATGGGAAAACTCATACCAGCAGAAGTGATCATAACGAAAGGCCACCGCCTCTTCACCCCCCAAACCACTCCCATCCGTGACCCATGGGAGCTGAGCAGGGGTGAAACTAAGTTGCCCTCTCTGGGGACAGGTGGGTCATGTCTGGCCAAATTCAGAAAGGCAGGAGAGGCTGGGTGGCTTCTTCCAGCAGGCAGACCCAGGGGCTGTAAGTCTCTCTCATGGCAGAATGGGTCTGCCGTGTTCACCGGAGCCCTCCTCACAAACCACAGGTCTCAGTGGTGCACTGCTGTATGTAGTGGTGGGGCCGTTTCTGCTCAGCTTGGGTGCCTGCCCTCCCTCTCCACCCAGGGCCATCCCTTCCCGTGTCACCCCTTCTGTCCTTCCTTCCCTCATCCCCATGCTCGAGTCAAGGAAGAGAGGAAGAGGGAGGGGTGCAGAGGGCGGGGTGCAGAAAGCGGGGTGCAGAGGGCGGGGTGCAGAGGGCGGGGGTGCAGAGGGCAGGGGTGCAGAGGGCAGGGGTGCAGAGGGTAAGGGTGCAGAGGGTAGGGGGTGCAGAGGGCGGGGGTGCAGAGGGCGGGGGTGCAGAGGGCGGGGGTGCAGAGGGCAGGGGTGCAGAGGGCGGGGGTGCAGAGGGCGGGGGTGCAGAGGGCGGGGGTGCAGAGGGCGGGGGTGCAGAGGGCAGGGGTGCAGAGGGCAGGGGTGCAGAGGGCGGGGGTGCAGAGGGCGGGGGTGCAGAGGGCAGGGGTGCAGAGGGCAGGGGTGCAGAGGGCAGGGGTGCAGAGGGTGGGGGTGCAGAGGGCAGGGGTGCAGAGGGCGGGGGTGCAGAGGGCGGGGGTGCAGAGGGCGGGGGTGCAGAGGGCGGGGGTGCAGAGGGCAGGGGTGCAGAGGGTAGGGGTGCAGAGGGCGGGGGTGCAGAGGGCAGGGGTGCAGAGGGTAGGGGTGCAGAGGGCGGGGGTGCAGAGGGCAGGGGTGCAGAGGGTAAGGGTGCAGAGGGTAGGGGTGCAGAGGGCGGGGGTGCAGAGGGCGGGGTGCACAGGGTAAGGGTGCAGAGAGTAGGGGTGCCGAGGGCGGGGTGCAGAGGGCAGGGGTGCAGAGGGCAGGGATGCAGAGGGCAGGGGTGCAGAGGGCAGGGGTGCAGAGGGTAAGGGTGCAGAGGGTAGGGGTGCAGAGGGCGGGGGTGCAGAGGGTAAGGGTGCAGAGGGCAGGGGTGCAGAGGGCGGGGTGCACAGGGTAAGGGTGCAGAGAGTAGGGGTGCCGAGGGTGGGGTGCAGAGGGTAGGGGTGCAGAGGGCAGGGGTGCAGAGGGTAGGGGTGCAGAGGGCGGGGTGCAGAGGGCGGGGTGCAGAGGGTAGGGGTGCAGAGGGTAGGGGTGCAGAGGGTAAGGGTGCAGAGGGCAGGGGTGCAGAGGGCGGGGTGCAGAGGGTAAGGGTGCAGAGGCAGGTACTTACCCACACTCCTCTGCTTCAGCTGGAATTCCTTTTTAGACTTCCTGGGAGAAGAAGTGTGGCAGGACTGGTGGGGGCAGGTGTCAGAGTAGACAGAGAGCTGGGGACGCCATGGGGCGCTCAATGGCTGGACTACTGCTCTCATGGCATTGCCTCCCCATCTAGTCTGCTGACCACGCCGAGGGCTGTGACCACAGGCCACCCACTATGGTTTTTGGATCTGTGTGGTGAGGGAGCTGCATGGTCAAGAGCTGGAGGTATCTAGAACACTGGCTGGGGAGCTGCTGCAAATGCTGGCAACCGGTAGCCTGAGTGTTTGTCTTTTTTGTTGTTTTTTAAGGCAGATTTCTCTGTGTCCTGGAACTTTCTCTGTCAACCAAGCTGGGCTCGAACTCAGAAGTCAGAGATCAGCCTGCCTCTGCCTCCCAAATGCTGGGATTAAAGCTTGCATTCCCACTGCTCCTCTTCCTCCTGTCCCTGCTCCTCCTCTTCTTCTTTGAAGGATTTATTTGGGGCTTACAGTTCATGAGGGGCAGGGAGTGTGGCCCTGGAGCAGCGGCTGGAGACTTGGCACCCTGAGTCTCCAAAGCCAGAGTGTTGGAATGACCACCAGTGGTCACAGTAATTGATCCTGTTGTCAGGAAAGCTCAGTGTTGGCTGGGGTCATCTCACACAGGGCTCCCCTGAGGAGATCAGGGCACCATTGGGGTTGAGGGAGAAGGAAACTCATCTGCCAAAGCAGGAGTAGGGTAGAAAGGCCAGAGACTGGGCACCATCCCTTTATACCTTCCTGTCATACTGACTTTTCCAGCCCCGCTGCTCTGAGAGCAACAAGCAAAGGATAGGTATGTGGGGGTGGGGGGAAGTTGGGGGTGGGAGTCAGGGGTGGGGGGGTGTCCTGAGCCAAGCTAGGCAGCCCTGCTCCCACTCAGAGCTTGTATTGTTGTCTTTCAGTCAATACCAAGAGGACTGGTGACAAATTTGGGGGCAGAGAATCTGAAACAGCCAAATAAATCACAGTAATGACCACCCAGATAGAATCGGTTCCTGGACTAGAACCCATTTAGCTGACGACACTGCTGTGGCACCCCACCCCTATCTGGATGCTTTCCAGCTGCCTTCCTCTGAGGATTCATGGGACTGACTCACAGTTTGGAAAGAGGGGAGCTACTGTGTGTCCCTTTTAGCCACAGAGCCCAGGAAGAAGGCTGAATCCATGAGAAAGATGGGGGTAAAATTGGTCTTCAATGCCATGACCCACCCTGATGCTCCATTTTCCACACAGACCTGGACTGACAGAAGCCAGGAAGGAGGAGCATGCAGGGCAATGTGGGAGCCTCCTGCCAGGTGCAGAGTTCCAGGCTGAGATGGGTGTGGCCATGAGTTCAGAGACAGGTTAAGGGTGGAGCTGGAGCTGGTGTCTGGACCACGTCTGGGCCTGTACTGCTCCTCTGCAAACCCACCTGGGCTGCATGCCCCCCACTATGCCCACCTTGCCCATTTTAGATGGTTGTTAGACACACAGCACCGCCTGCAGGCCACCTCCCACGTCAGCTCACTTTCCTTCAGTGGCCCTGTATCCGGATCCTCCATACAGGTAGAATGTTCTACATTCCCCCCTGCATACCCCAGGAACCTGCCTTTAGCTGCCTCCAAGCTACTTGGTCATTGTCTGCCTCTTGTTCTCCTGTGGAGTTGGCTTTGCCACACCTGGCTATGTATTTATCCAGCCTCCCAAAGCACTGTCTCTCCTTTCCCAAGGTGCAGGGTCCTCCTGCCACTCCTGCCTCTCCTGGCTGCTATGAATGGTGCCAGACCAGTCTCACCACAAGACTCTCTCAGTGTTGGCCAAAGTCATCTTGGGGACAAGGGTGAGGCATTGGCTCCTTAGTAGGGTGTGTGCCTTTCCAAGATTCAGCCTTGACACCCCTCTCTTCTGGTTTTTTGTTTGTTTGTTCCTTTGTTTGTTGAGACATGGTTTCTCTGTGTAACCCTGGCTGTTCTGGAACTCACTCTTTAGACCAGGTTGGCCTCAGACTCACAGAGATCTGCTTGCCTCTGCCTCCTGAGTGCCAGGATTAAAGGAGTGCGACACCACAGCCCGGCTGGACACCTCTCCCAAGTCCCTGTGCCATGGCCCTATTTCCACCTCCCTGGTCTCTCATTACCTCACATTACACTTTATGGCAGCCTGTCAGATGATTGTCAGTATCTGGGGGACTTTGTTCTAGCTAAGTGTGTGGGTGTGCTGCACAGTGGGGTCCCAGAAGGCCCAAGCCTTAGCCTCTAGCTCCACAAGAGTGCACTCAGGAGGGGGGACGGGGACAGCCACAGGACTGTTCAGCCATGGGGGAAGGGCAGACACTGGGGGATGGTCTCCACCTGTGTCTGGGTCACTGCTGTAGCAAGGACAAGGGGTGTCCAAAATGCACCTCTGAAAAAGACCACTCACTTGGATACTGAAGGGGCCAAAGGCAGTGACAGTCACGGATAGTAGAAGCCGGCATGTCACTCCTCACACTGCCACTCAAGCGAGGGCAACAAAGGTGCAGATTTGGGATGTCTCCCGTCAGTCACACACCACTTGATGTTAGTGAGAGAACTGAAGTGACTGTAGAAGTGTGACCCTTGAGCCAGGAGGTAGCAAAACACTGCTCCTAACTGTGGGCTTGAAAACAATACCTTTACTTCTCGTGTCAAACAAAACAAATGGACACTTGGGAGGTGGAGGCTAGAGGACTCAAGAGTTCAAGTCCAGCCTGGGCTACATAGTGAGACCCTGTCTCAAGAAATAAGCAAATAAAGAACCAAATACAAAACCGATTCTTTAGCCAGGCATTGGCGGTGCAAGCCTTTAATCCTAGCACTCAGGAGGCAGAGGCAGGTGGATCTTTATGAGTTTGAGGTCAGCCTGGTCACAGAGCAAGTTCCAGGACAGGTTCCAAAGTGACACAAAGAAACCCTGTCTTGAAAAACCAAAGGAAAAATGAAAAAGAAAAGAAAAAGCTGACACTTTAAGAAGTACACCAAGATGGCAGAAGGCACCCATAGAAAGTCAGGCCTCAGCCTCAACATGGCCATGAGGATCCATTCAGTGAACAAGCACAGACTCTGAGAAGAGAAATCACAGCCTGTATTAGAAAATTTAAAGGCTCTTTCTAAAAGAACATAAGCTTAACTTATTTATAGTCTCTAAATAAGCAGAGAGGAAAGAATGCAGAGGTTAATACAACAAAAGAAGGAACAAGGAGACCGTAAGTGACTGCCCGAGCAGGAAGACAGGTGGTCTAAATTCACTGGTAATCACAGCAAATGGGTTAATTTACTAAGACACAGTTTAGCAGATCGGATTAAAACCACACTGTTACACATTGAACCACGCCTTGCAGGAGATGGAGGAGAGAATCACAAAGATGGACTATTTAAGTGCCAGCCTGGATGGTGGCCCAGCAGCGGAATGGATGGTGAAGTTCATAACATCTGCTCAGACACGTAGCAATTGACAAGAAGGCCAGGACTGTCAAAGGGCCGAGGAAAAGTCTTTCAGACTCTATCGTGGCCACTCTGTGGGGTCAGGTCAGTAAAGCTTAGACACTGGCACTGCTGGTCCTGTAGATCTGCTGCCAACCAGATGGAACGTGTCTTCTTAGGACAGAAGAGCTTGTCTCAAAGACCTGGAATCCAGAGGTAAGGAAGGAAAGTGTGTTCCCAGACAACTCACAATGGTGGGTGTGTGTGTGTGTGTGTGTGTGTGTGTGTGTGAGAGAGAGAGAGAGAGAGAGAGAGGCTCAGTGACAGAGTGAGTGGTGCCTGAGGTCTGGAGCATACTCTTGGGAACTGAGGCTGGCACAAGCTCAGCTTGGGCTCCCAGGAGGACTGTTAAGCACATCCAGGGGAATGGCCCACAGATCAGCAACCGGAACACTTCCTGCAAGACTGAGGAAGGTACACAGGACACACAGACAGACACAGAGGCCTGAGTCATCTCATGCCCACAAATCTGAAACCTCCAAGAGAACCATACATGCTCAAGTGGAATTCTAAGTGAGTCATTAGCCCTTAGGAAATGGAATCTGGGGTCAGACACCCCACCCTTCCTCCAAGCTCAGAGGCCATTAAGTTTCAGAGGCCAGTTAACTACCCTCAAAACCTCGATTAAAAGTAGTCCTGCATCCTGCACCCAAACCCCACAGCAAGAAGTTTGTGTCAGATTCTGAACTTTCAGATGTCTCAGAGGCACATTCGCCACCTGGTATGTGACACCCAGCAGGGTCTGGGGTTGCTTCCAGAGCCAACATACTGTAGCTCCCAGCATGACTTGCAAAGATTTTCACCGAGTGGGGTCCAGGACCAGATGGAGCCTCAGGCGTTCAGCTCAGCTTTCTTTGGAAATGAGTTTGCAGGAAACAAAAACACTATAAAACAAAACCCAAACAACAATACTTTTCAGGGCCTTCTGGGTTTTAGAACTGGAAATAAGATCCTGCAGAGCCACAGTCGGATCTAACAGGGTAGCTCTGCCCTCACACACCCACATACCTGGGACCCTGTATCATTGTTCTAAGAGAAGGAAGGTCTGCCACAGGAAATCCACAAAAGAGACTGGATATCCAGGTCCGATTACCTTAATAGTTTCAACCTGAAGAGAATTCACTGCTTGCTCAGTGAGCCTGGCAGCTCTTAGAGCAGCCATGGGCTAGCTGGCTGGCACCAGGGTCTTGTGTAGGTCCTGGGGAGGAAGGTGAGTAGGAGGAAGGAGCCACAGGCTTTATTTCAGCAATTCAGTAAGAGGATGAAAGAAAGAAATAAGGAAGGGGACAGAACCCTGGACAGTTTAGAGCAGAAGCCAGGAAAGGACTCAGGCTTGGAGGCCTGAGGATCAACACAACCCATCCCAGAGCACAGTAACCAATTTAAAAATGAAAGACAAAACCACCTCACTCTGGGTTGACTGAAGGTTGCTGACACCCCAGGCCTCTCCTCTCTGAAGACAGAAACTACCCAGAGGAAAGTAGGAAAGATGTGGGCTCCAGGGTGTGTTCTTTCATCAATTTAATCTAGAAATTCTGCAACTCCAATCAGACTCCCAGAGAAGTAGTTTTTTTTTTGTTTGTTTGTTTGTTTTGTTTAGAGAAGCTTTGTAAG